GACAGAACCGAACAGCTCTCTACAGACAAAGGAACCATAGCAACTAAAGCGCAACTACAATATAATAGCTGCGTATAGCGGTAAGAGAGAATCTGCCGGCTGGCTGACTGTTGGCGGCTTGTTACTGGCAGGCAGCTTTTTCAGCAGGCAGTAGCGTGACCGTGGAACTACTTTTCTGGCAAGAACTCGCTCGAACTGGTGCAGTTGTAGACGACGGCGACGGCGTTAACCTGGACTGAATAAAATTTGAAGAATCTTTTCTTAAAGAAATTTTTTAAAGAAGAAAAAGGGGATATGAAGCGCCAGGGGAAAGGAGTTTTCCTGAACTGGTCGAAGTGAAGAAGGAAACAGGAAGAGAGATACAGACAGCAAAAGGTGGAACGAAAATGACGTATAGATGGACAAGGTCTAGCGTTTAGATGCGTAAATCATAGCCTTCGTTTCCAGATAGCTTAGTTACTTCACATAGTTTTGTTTGCGAACACCCTTGCGACCAGTAGGTTCCGGGTTACATCTTGTAGAGTGCAGTCACACCGATTGAAATTTGGACAGCTTTTTCTATACATATCTAATGAGTGCTGAGGTACTGCTTATTCAGATCGCAGATCTTGTCACAGACTCATGGTGACGACATGTGCGTGATCTGGAGTGATTTCTAAAGTATATACTTGTATAATGCCCACCCGCTTCAATGCAGAAGCTTGCCCAAATTTAACAAGCAAGGTCTTAACGCACCTAGCGCTTAACAACCACTTGAATGACGTAATGTAAAGGCAAAATGCCCCGTGTTCGGCTTTTATGACTAGCTGATCTAGCGGCTGACGATGTTTCTAGACTGGCAACTAATTAAGCTCAGCTAGCAGATTATCTTTCCAGGACTAGAAGCGGGCCGCATGTGCTATTGCGTATACCAAGTTTTTTGATCACTACGGTTAGTCACAAGTACTCTATCGTAGGATTGAAAGCTGATGCGGATTAAAATATAAGAATTACAATGATACAAATGTGTGTTTGTCTGCCGTATACGACATCTGGATGTTTTTACCTAAAACTGAAAAAGGTTCCATTAGAAGCAAACTGTTTCGGCTAATGTTTACTTGTATGCAAAATAGAGTTTATGGCTGATACAAACTCATACTTTGTATTATATCATGCCAGAAATATTCAAACTTAGGGCTTTTGCTGTGGACCTTTAAGGTTGTTTGAAAACGCGTAAGCAGTTCACGTCAGATGTTTTTCAAAATTTGCTTCGGACAGCCCAAAGCTATTTTGAGTAAATAAACCCGAGCTGATTTTGTCGTGGCTTCGACAAGTACTCAATACGCAGAATCATGTGGATGACAGGATCCGATTCCCTATCTGGTTTGATAGACAGTGGTTGCTACAAGAGACATTCATGGACGTAATTGTTAACGTAAGGCCTATACAAGGTATATTTTATGAAATGCACTTTTGTCTGGGAGAAACTCGAACATTTCTGTAATCTTCGTGATCTAATGATTCCATGTATTTTTAAACCATGAAGATTACACCGGTTGATCCGATATAGAGTTTCCGGTATGCGTTGTAGCAAATGTCTGTATGTAATGCTCGTCTCCTTTGGTAGCTGGCAGATCATATAAGTTGGTCGTCCATCTGTCTCGAACAAACCGACTCGTTTCGGTGGGATTGGAAAGCTGAGGACGATGCAAACGAAGCTTTCACTATAGTCGAGTATAGCCACACATATATTCTGCTTCAGCTGAAAATCGCCAGGAATCTGAGGTAAGATCACCTTGTGGATGACTCTTTTCAGTCATTCGTAAACAAATGAAATTGTCTCATGCAAGGGTATCTTCATATTTCACTAGATATACCGGTGGTGTCTAACGTTGCTGACGGCGTAAACACTACCAATTATACAAGAAAATTCAATAGATCCCACCTGCACTATATAAAATTAGCACTTCAGCTGTCCTGTAATGAAAGTGTCACCGGCTGATGATTGATAGAATCAGACTGCGTGATGCAGTTTCTGTAAGAAGGAAACCCGAAAAACACGGCTGGTTGCTTATTAATCTACAAAATCATGATCTGTCCTTATTTGTCAGTGCTCGTGCTATTCGAGTGGTATATGCCAACTAATCAGTAATCTAGCATATCAGCGGACATTAGTGGCTGCTGGTGTTGGCTTAGGCCTGGTTGCAGGTTTCACAAACAACGATAGACCCCCCGATGGCTATTCATTCGTCCATGTGGCTGTGAGCATTTCTATTCTTGCTGCTGTCGTCGCTCTAACACTAACGACAGCATTTGATAGGCGAGGTAAACGGGGGGCTGAGTTTTGATATCTCTGTGGCTTTTTGGTTAGTCCATCTCGCTTCGAATGCTGTGCATCGCATCAAAGACGGCGGTGTTAAGTCTCGTTGGCGTTGTGTGTGACTACATCAATCGTTGTTTTGTCTTTAGTTGTGGCAGCTCGAAGCCAGTAGTACGTTGAGTGTACTGCTAGGTTAGTGGGAATAAAATTGCGGACCAGACTTATTCCAGGCATGTGAAACCGTCCAGCTACGATAACAGCAGATACAGTGCGGGATTACACGCAAATTCCAGAGGTCTGACGCTGATTCTTGTTACTTGATCTTATAGCAGCGACACACAGTAGGTGGAAATGCGCCAGGAATCAAAAAAATTTGATTTGAAAATAAAACATGCCCAAGAACGACTCGGCGATTCGAAGCTAATTCAACGCACAAAGCACTACTAATCTTATTTGGTTCATGGCGACCGCGATAGCGAATGCAGCATGTATCTATTTTATGAAAAGTAACAAAAAAAAACGAACAATTTCTTCTACAGTAACTACCGCAAATAGTTAGTAAGGCAAAATAGTCACCGAGATAATGCGCATACCCTGAACATATTCATTTAAAAAGGAAAAATAAAATATATTTGTTTTAATTTAGGTATTGTGAAAGTGCTCTGCGGATACAGCAATCGGATGACACCAAGCTATTTACATGAGGTTTCACTATGTTGGTACAGTCAATTGTCGTTCATTCCAGATTGACGTTTGTACGTTAGCGCCTCTGCTTCTATGCGCTGCGTTTGGTATGAGGGGTTCAGTTTGTTTAAAATGCCCGTAAAGGTTCTATGCCACATGTATTTGCTAACTGAACATGAGAGGCAAGGGACAATCATAGGGTAAGGTAATTTAATTCTAAGAAGATTTAGTCTAAACACGTATACTCATTAAAGAAATCTGACTTGGCAATATTTTGACCACTGAAGTACTTCAGTTTCTGCAGCACGAAGACTTCCTTAAAGTATTATGTGTTTCTTGTGAAATCGTAGGAAATTACAAACGGACCCAATTACCCGAAGTATTACATGTTCCTAAATAGTTTAAGGGACTAGCTGATTTGCATTCGACTTGTCCGACGAAACTTTCGATTGATGGGATTCATAAGGGTATGCAAACTTTGACTCTATATGTAGCCTACGAGCCTTGAAATGGCTTAGATATTATGAAATGGAAACAAAATTCACATTTTGTGGAACCGGAGTGCGAAGGAGGTACTCCATGAGACGTCTGATTCCTATACGTCTATATCTGTTTATCTATATTTAAAAATTAATCGCGCATCAAGGCCTACTTTATTGTAAGGCAGCAACAATCTTATGCTCATATTCGATTCCAAAATATTATCAGTACGGCTTATCGTATTGATCCAATTAGGTTATTATTACTGAATTGCATGAGCTATACAGCCGGAAATATCTTTGAAACTGATATTTTCAAATCACAACGTATGTAAACTTCTAACCTAACCTAACCTAACCTAACCCAACCTAACCTAACCTAACCTAACTTAAAACCTCGAGGTATAGTGAGTACGTCGAATTTTAAAAATGCATAAGTCTGTTCGCTATATGCGAGAAATGTCACAAACGTCTTGGTCGAGTTAGGTGCTGGGACGAATGCGTTTTGGTATCGAAATTGAAACATGCTAGGTTTATGCATCAAGCTCTTATAGCAATGTATATTGAAAAGTGATAACGGGAAGAACACAAAAGTGGAATCAGAAATGCTCAAAAGAATAAAGTTGCTTACTAGGACAATGTAAAGCATTCGGAGAGGCGTTTGATAACAGGAAGTTGATAATGGAAGCAGACGTCGTTTGTTGATAAACGGACTGTGTTTCCTATAAATGTACGTAGTTCCTTCATCCGTGAGCTCCGCTCTGCGTGGCTATTTCGCTTCATCATTTTTACAGCGTAATCCAAATGTACACTTACTCTCTTTGCTGTTGCATTTCCAATTCGTTTAAGTGGTCGTCTATTGTACCACAACGATCACTTTCGTCATAAAATAGAGAAATCCGGAATCGACACACACTTTCCTCTCTGTCCTTGGTATCTGTATGTGTGCAGTTTAACGTTTACTGCTAATATAAATAAAATTATATTAAAAAATACATTGACTGTATTGCGCAACGTTTACCTGAGGGATCTGAGGTGAAGTGTAGTATGCTTTAAGACGACGACAGTACACACGGTACAGTGGCACATCCGAATAGCCTACGTAGTATTTGCTAGTAAATGTATGCTAATACCTATTGCACTGCCCTTTAAAGAAAATCAACAATAATCAATCATCAACTAGAACATTCGGTCAATATAAACGTTTGACAGAGTGTTCCGTGACGTGCTCTGTACCAATCATCTGCATACTCGTACAGCTATCTGCGACAGTTCTGTTCTATGAATCGAGAACTGCCAACCCAGTAGGCAAATTAATCCCTGAAGCGATTTCCTCGTATACGAAACAGATGTGCAGAATTCTAGACAACGGTGTACTACAATTAAATTTAAACTTGTCTCTTGATTAGATGCTCCCGCAGGCGATGATGGTTTACGTGCCTCCAAATCAATTTAGTATGCCCGATTCAAAGGCGTCCACTGCATTCTGTTCGGGTGGCCTTAGTAGGATTTTATAATGAATGCATTGAACATACCGAACTGGACGCACGAACACGTCAAAACAGCTTTCCCAAAAAGTGTATACGTACTTTGAATGATTAGTCCTTATTTATACATGAGTAGTATTTAAATTATACTTCTTTTATATCGCGTATGCTAAACTGATTGCCGTTTTGATCAATATACTGCTGGTAACGGTGCGCTATAAGTTCGCAAACTTTAACAAGCGTTTTACTTGACGTTGTGGCGCATTCTGCTGAGTTGCGACTTTTAGATATCCCAGTGTGAATTTGTTATTTTAAGTATTCCCACAAAAAGAGTCAATAGGTATTAGATCTGAAGAACCTATCCTATGAAACGTCTTTGTCCAATCTAGCCTGTTTGAAGGATTTTTAGGAGTCCTGTTGAAAAGAAAATTCGTTGTTTTAACCAACGTCCTTTCGTTACGGTAGGATAGATAAGAGAAAGTTACTCTAATAAACTTCCACTAGATGGCAACCGGCGCTATACTGTTACAAAAGAAGAGTCTTAGTTATTTCCTTAAAATGCCGTACCACGCCGTAACCTCTAATACTTTTATACAATTATCCTGTGTAACATGTAAACTTACGCCATTTAATTCGAATGTAGCTTTATCGCTCAAAACAGCCTTCGCCAAAATCTGTGCACCCTTTTCATATTTTTTCAAGTACCATTTGCAGAATTGTTTCTTTTTTTTGTTATAGGCCGGATCATCTTGGTAACATGCACCATAATTTTCCATTTACAACGCCAAGGAATGTAACGTACACTTGATTTGCTGAGGCTAAGCTCACGAGTCGACTGCGTTATAGATCTTTGGGATGTTCCGCTTTAACTTGCCAACATTCTTTTTCAGCTGATAAAGTTCCTTGATGTTCTTGGTTTTCTAAAACATTGTTTACGAACAACCTGGAGGTTCCACCTGTTTCGAACTTATCTTGTATCCAAGTGGTAGTAAGTAGCGTAAATGGATCTGCCCAAAAAAACACTCTATGATATTGTCATTGTACGTCTCTTAAATTTTCATACTTTCAATAGCATTTTAAAATTGCTAAAAAGGTAATCTTAGCCCATGCATGATTTCCGATTAATTGTATCCTGAAAAGAAAGAACAATCAGAATGTTATGACTCGTTACACAGTATGTAGACACTCGATGTATATGACCTTTGCAGAGGTAAATGGTGCTTAGGTAGCAAAAACCTACCTAAAATGTACTCTATAAACTGTTACCATCTGACTTAGCGTATCAGAGTATGCAACTGAAAGATTGTCTGATCTTCCTGACGTAGATTTTCTTAGCTCTATGGTAGTTGATTAAGAGATTACCAAAAAGTTTCACATAAAAAACAAGACGCAGATGATAAATTTAGTACTTACGACAAAAGTGCTATTAGTAAGAGATTATCAGCTGGTTGTTATAATTTTATAGAGAAAGAATTATACATGGCACTTAGTAACTAAACGGATATGCGACCAATATGGACGTAGTTCATTTTCTTCTTAACAAAAGAGGAGACTTGTGCGACTTGTAGCAGGCTGCCGAGTCAACTCAATCTGTGTCGGATTCGGCTACACCAATAATTAATAAACATGAAAAAAATTAGCTTTTTTTAGGATGTTGGTAACTGCGGTGATCCGTTCTCAGCTCTGTAATAACCGGAGAACTGCAGTTCCTAATCACTAATTGCATCAGCCATGTTTGATTAGTATCTGTCTAATACCTATTTTCTGCTTGATACAGAACTACTCCACGAAGTTCCATGCGCGGTTGGCTTTGAAGGGAACAGAAACATCAGAAGGCGAAAACTTTATCTTTCATAGAACTGTTAACTTCACTAACTTTACATGCCAGGATGCCGGTCGCTTTTGTGACAGACGCAGCCGGCCTATTATTGTTCGAATAGCAAGTTTATCCAATTGCCTGTTTGATTAAAGTGTCATTCCTGTAGTAAACATTTAGAGCAAGATCGTAACGAGACGCGACTACATGATACAACACACAAAGGTATGAAATAATATCGTTCATGAGTGGCAAGACGTGTACTCATAGCAATATATTGCTATTGTCAACAGAAAAAAGAAAAGATAACTGATAAAATAGCTTTCGGCTAAGCTAGCCATCACCGTGTCGCGTGTAGTGAAACAGCGCATGGGAGCTTCGAGCCTTAAGTCTACACAAAGTTCAAATCAAATACGTACTCGTGTAGGAATGCTCTGCGTGTTCCATAAATGACTTTTGTCGGTTCCTTTACTGTGAGGATTCGTTCCGCATCAATGGTGCTCTATTTACTGATTCGTTGTAGAAGCTCTTCTATACACTTAGCGTATGAGCGATAACGTAATGACCACATGCCTATTTTCATATTAGCAATAGATGTATCATGGGATATTTTATGCTAATGGGTCGATCGATCTCCGGGACATAGTTGGTATAGATTGTAAGGTTCTTTGGGTGATTAGGACGTAAAACTAAACGGTTGTGCTTTTCGGATACCTAGCCTGTAGCAGCAACTGTTTTGTGTAAGAAAACATCAGTAATGAGTGCGATTTTTTTTCTTACATTTTCAGTGAGCAGAGATACCGTCAAAAAAAGAAAATGTACTACAAAAATGGTAAGTTAGTTTGACTAAGACAGTGCACGTTCAGTTTCTTCATTTTTATCGTTGTAGGGACATGTTTTTGTGCTCTCGCCGGCCTTCGATCATTCAAACAGGACACAGAACGGAACATATTGATACCAAGTTTAAACTACACTAGTGTGGTTTCGTGAAGATTTATACAACATGCGTTTACTATACTGTTTTGCTCTTCTTGAACTCGCAATTAGGTATATTGGTACCTAATAAAGGTGAGTGATGAACTAATGACGATTATTTATACTTACATATTGCATATTATTGTTATTATACACTTAGCTGATCAAAGCAATTTCTTCACTGAACGTTAGAACCTGTAACCCACAGATAACAGCAAGCCAATAGAATTGTTTGACTCATAGTAGGTTCAGCTGAGGTATACCTCGCCTTTAGGTGCACGTCATAAAGTAACGAAACCCGATGGGCAAAAAACTCCATATAGAACTAACTAAATGGTTTTCTTTAGTATACTGTTAGTAAATATGCACGAAATTACACCGACGTTTGGAACGGGAAGTCTGGCTCGACCTCTTACTTTTGCTTTGTAGCTAGGCGTTTAATACGGTGTTTATGCTAACCCTAAAGCGTTTTTGACGCAGCGTATTAGTCGAAATGCGATTGTCCCACCAATTCAGTAATGAAATACGACAGAATTGCACAAGACTATAAATAGGTTTTCTATATTGATCGCACGTTGAGTCACGAATTTGTGCGATTTCGTCCTCTTCATTGACAACGACAGCGAGCCACCATTAACACATCGAAAAGCTAACAGCGAGGCCGGACATTTTGGTATTTTGCCTGAGCAGAACAGTACGCGGCAGGCAGAAGTGAGACCAGCAGAGAACCTGAAAGACAGTCGCCTTGCTTGTTTTATGGTGGTCAAGAGCCGGTCAGTAGCTGCAATGGTGGGGCGTCTAGCAAAAAAGACTGCCGGTGACGTTTACGACGGCGGTGCAATTGGCCTGCCCAGGCTGGGTCTGATGACTAACAGCATGATAGAAACCTGCGTCGCAGCGGCGAGCTATGGTGTGACTCACTATACCATCGTTAACGGAGTCTGCCGCGGAATGCTTCTATCATGATGAGAGAATCTGTCACGTGGTCGTTTCGGCTTGCAAAGGAATACCGCAATCTCTAGATATAAAAACAATATGGTCAGCTTTTGGTGAGACAAAGTGGGAGACCTTACCGATAGGAAGACCTTTAAAACGATCTCAATATGGATACGATATGACAAAACATCGCTTGATATAGCAGCTAGCTGGCTAGTAGCACCTTTGAATTTTAGGTGGGGGTCTTTTTTCCCTTATTTAATTCCAAGCCCAAACTCCTTTCAAAGGTCCTTCCACAAATTCCACACCTTTAATCTTGTACAATATAAGACATAAGGATAATAACGCGTGCAAAAGTATTTGTTTTTGTTGATATTATGATAGCTATTTTGAAAAGTAACTATCCTTAATACGTCAAATTTGTATTCGTTTATTGTTTCACTTAAACATTGAGTGAGGGCTGTTCTTTTCTGAGGTGTGGATGGACGGCCTTCATGTTAAGGTGTGCATCTCTGGGCGTTGATACCTCAGGAAATGAAGAAGTCCAGTTTGTGAAATCCGTAGCCTTATATCATAGGTCTTGTTTTTCCAGCATTCTTTTTTTGTGACAGTCAAAGGTATAACGTGACTTGATAGTATCGATTAATCGAAAATATCTCCAACTCTGTACAAATACTGTTTCCGCGCTGATATAAATGTATTTTTGAATACGCACCACATGACCATTGTAGTCCCGAATCCGTTTTCACCATTGACCCGCGATAATAGTAAATCATTGTAAACACAGTTGCTACGACCTGTCAAGTAGCACGTGGTACTATTATATGCGTAGCAACAATATTTTGGTAAAAATACGAACCCTTATATTTGAGAAACAGGTGGTGTCCAATGTGCATCCGCCAATCCGAGTGACGATTTTATCCGTTTCAGTACAAAATGTCAGAATTCACTTTTCAGTGGGAAAAAGAATAGCTTTGTTTTCTTTTCTGCAGCATTTTTTTTCATGTACCCGCAGGTTATCGCTAAGGCTGATTTGAGCAATTGAAGTGACAGGCTAATGCATTTCATTATGAATCTTCTCTTTTGATTATTCTACAAAATATAGCGCCAAGCAAAAAGCATAAATTACCAATATAGCATGTACATGCGGGCGATTCTGTAGGACTATATCGTTGCTTTTTGATTGTCTAGAATAAAGATTTGTTTTAGGAAAATTAATTTTTGGACAAGCGGTTCATTTCAAATATGCTTTTTGCAGAAGCTCTCTTTTGATCAATAACTAAATATAAGCCATAAAGTGCCAACTGCTCATGCGGATTCAATTCTTCTGCTTTAGTTACGACGTCTTTAATAAAAGTTTGTTTTTCTGCAATACTCGAAATTAGACTCTGCCTGAAAGGAACGCAAGGGTTATTTTTGTGATATAATTCAGATACTGATCTGTGAAAAAAAGCTAACAATAAATAACAGATATGAGTTTGAAAAGGCTTATACTTTGACATAAGAATCAACAAAAAAAGAAATTCTTGAAAAGTCGTAGCGATAATGCGTAACATCTGCTACTCCGCTAGTTTCTAGATTGAACCAGCTAAATCGTTAGCTGTTGTTCAATACTTTTACGTCAGATGAGCCCTACCAATATTATGAACTTTTTCTCCAAAGCAGGCGGTTTACGTAAATACGGGTTTATAAAGGTCTCCTCCCTTTTTAGAAATTTTTTCTATTATCAGTTGTAAAAAAAAAATATATATATATATATATATATATATATATATATATATATAAAAAAAATTTTTTTTTTACCTTTGGTGTAGTAAATTTGTTCCGATTCTCGTTTCTTAGTTAGGTTCATCCCAGTCTTCAAAGTTCACATATAGACTATAAGCAGCTAATAAGAGGCTACGCGAATAAATTTGCTAAGTAACAAATGCATTTGAATACTGAGAGAAAAGACAATCGCGAGCAATTGCTCACACATTGTGGTAAGGATCACCGAAGTGCGTTCGGTACTGTCTTGATGTAGCTATTGAGTAAACTGATAATTTACCATAAACAATAAAGCTACTTACAAACAAAAAATCTTGTTTGGCGACTTCAATGGTTACTGGCAGAGGTTTTGTACAGATAATTCGCTTTATTCTGTTATTGTAGCCTATAGTTACTGCGTAGCGTACAGGCTGTGCGAAATGCTATTTAAAACCCATCACTCGAGCTCAATCACACAGCCGTAGGAGCATTTCTAGTTGACAAGGCCCTACTCGATAGCCATTGGTGAAGTACGGCCTTCATAGGCCACGAACTCTGCTCAGCTCACTTGCTCAAACAGCTCCCAGTGTCGATTTAGTGGCGTTCATGAGCACAGCTACATAAATCATGAAAAACACCAAGATGAAAACTGTATGGCGGATGCTACGCGTCTTGACCATCTTGCATTCCGTTGCACCAGGAACGGTGCTGCGATGCTCTGTTATCCGTGAGCTTCTGGTGTGATCGTAGGTTTTTTGTGAGGTTAGGAAATCACTGCTTCCGATAGAGTTCGCTGACGAACGCTCAGGTGAGATCAGTAAGAGAAAATTGCAGTGGGCATGTTTTGTCGAGAAGTACCAGGAACCGAAATAAGGCCCGAGCCGATTCAGACTATACGACTGAAACGAAATAACTGCTTCTTACAGAATTCTTCTTTGCGAAATTTAGGTATGAAAAGACGACGCGCTGTCTATAATACACCGCAACCGTTTCAAGCACACTATAAGAAGATCTGTTTTAAATACTGAAGGCACAATCTACTACGTTAATTTTACCGTGCAATAGTCTTCGGAACGAATATAGTTTGTTGAAAGATTCCAGAATCATAGAAATGATGACCATGTTAGCAGTTCGTACAAGATGGATGTTTCACAATCTTGGCGGCAAATTCACCAGTAGCATTTAATTAAGATTATTCATGTCTTAAACCTAGGAAAGGTAAAAACAATTGAACGTCGAGTCGATAGCGCGCTCATCAGGTAATTTGTGGACAATTAATAGCCACCTGAATCGTATCGCTAGAAGGCTTTGCAAAAACCGAGGTCATTACTTTGCCATTTTCACGTACGCTTGCCGTTTGTTTTTACAGAAAGATTTACTTCGATTAAAAGGTATGCTAGGCAATACCGTGGCCGATCGTATAATAAGTGAATTAGCGAGTCTGCTTGAAGTAGCCTTAAAACCTGACGAGGTAGAGGCCTTAGAACTGGAGAGGCAGCTTATGGCAGAGGACCGCAAGCAGCAAACGCTTCCTGCCCAACAAGGTACTTGTCAGCTAATAGTGAAAACTCTAGTGGGTTGCATATTTTATTATTATTATCGAATGTAGCAAATGGAAATATCTATGGTATTGATATTGAGCATGAAATGAGCTGATTTTGCTAAGTGGATTTGCACCACTCGAAAGTATTTCGTTTTTCTCCTTGTGTAATGACCGGTTGACGTGGGACTACTGCGAATGTTGGATCCTGAACTTAGTTGTTTCTATGCGATAGGCATGCGGTGCATAGTAGGGTTGAGTGATGCAAAATGGCGGACAAGCAAGCAGAGTAACCCCCCCCCCCAGAGAGTCTTTGTTGAGATATTAAACCTTGTTTCACTTTAACAATGTTTTTGACCAGGCAACGAAGGTGGATAGAGAAAAGAACCGAATCATTTGGTTTAGCGCTTGATTGTTCGCAATAAATATGGTCTCGCATATAAACTCCCAGCTACTTTCAAGGAAAATTTCTTGTCCTTGAATATCTAATCCTACCGTGTATGGCCAAATTTCCAAAGTTTTGCATTTCGTTCGCATTGCTGATACGTGATACAAATAAACATTCTATATAGCGATTAGCCAGCCCATAGTTAATACTCACCAAGCACAGTATTAGAGAGAATGAACGGTTTGTTGTAATGAGGTGAGGACTAGAATCGTTTGGGTGCATCCTGGCATTATTTATGCACTTAACAGGAACTAATTCATACGATTAAATGGCTATCATATAATTGAGATACATGAAATTAATAAGCATATTAATTTTATTAAAATTAAATGTACAATTAAATTATTGGATATACAATTAAAATGGTTTTCAAATATGCTGCTCTAAAGATTTTTTTTCGAGAATATTTGCCAGATTATAGGGTAGGTGTAGGAGATACAGGTAGGTGCACGACTAATCCTGAGGTTTGTTCCTAGATGAGGTTTTGTGATGGTGTTGTATAGCAAAACTGACGTCAAAGTGATAAAAATCCAAGGATGCTTTTCTACTCAGCCTTTTAGTATTATTATCACCCTTATTTAGATATTAGCCATCGCCGCGTAGTTCTTTACATTATAATAATTCAAGTCCTAATTATTGCTAATATCGCAATCTTTTTAGGCGTGGGAAGTACACCAGAGGCACAATTTGCGTACTCATCTGCTTCAGACTATTCAACACAAACAGACTGGTCTGTATCGAATTGTCAGACTCAAACCTCTCCTTCATCTACTGTCACAAAAGAAGTTCAGGTCGGAATTTTTGAAGAAAGAGATTCTTCGCAAATAGCGGGCCTTCATGAGAATGACCCAAATAGCGTCAAGTATAATATCGTAGCAACGGCAGCCGGAAGATCTTCAGAGAGTCAGCAAAACGAGGGAGAAAAGTCCCTATTGGATGATAAACAGTTGACGAGCGAACACGATGAATCTCGCGATCGTTTACAACAAGCAGACGACAAGCGTGATTCAGCAGGCACCAGTGATCAAGCGGTGCAGGTTTCCTGCTCACTCATTGATGCTGCAATTCATCAGTCTTCTCCAGAGTCACTACAATTACTGCATACGCTTAAAATTACTCGAAAAGATCAAATAGTCCAAGCGACCTGCACGACTCTTGATGCAGCTATTTGTACGGTTCCTTGTCGAACTCAGGAACAGCAACAGCTTGCACTCGATGTAGGTACATGTATGTCGCCCATTAGATTTTCACCACAAACATGCTCAAAATGTTTTGAAAAATTTCAAGGGTCGGAGGTTTTATTGTCTGATGCTGTCGTGTCGGAAGACCCTAGTGACAAGGCAGTTGCTGCTGGCATTAAAGGTACTAGTCGTCTTGGTTCAATGGATGATGAATCTAATGAAGAAACTAAGACTGCGAAACACAGCGATGACGGACATAAGCTAGAACTATCAAATGAACCGATAGAACAGAAATTGCGCTTATCAAATTGTCACAAAGCAGAGGCGCCACGGTCTCTGCTTGATTGTATTCCCGCAATTGAAGTAGACGAGGATAGAGATGATCCACTGTCGCCCCCTCAAGGAACTCTAATACCTCGTAAGAAAGAGAAGAGGGTCAGCTTCGTTGATCAGGGCGTTACTGATGGACCTGCGCACGACAACAGCGAAGACTCAGATGAGCGGTAAGTATTTTCCTTTCTCACTATATATGCTGTACCTGTGTGAATGCGGACCTGTAGACTTCTTCCCACCTTGCATTGAACTGTTCTGGAATGTTGCGCTGTTCAGAGATTGTATAATAAAACGACTAAAAATACATTTTTATGTGACAAACAACTCATAAACTGCAAGTCGATTTTACTGAACAGAGATCGGTACGGCTTATAGAGCCAAGTAGAAACTTTCAAATTATTACAGGATTATGCGCGAATTGGAGATGATCATCGCGGAAATGCGGCATCCGTTCGCCAATCATCGTGACATCATCCGTGAGCTATCCCCACTACCCCCGAGTCCCGTTCCGCCATCTTTGCATTCTAACAAGCGTAAGAAAAAACGGCATAGGGAAAAGGGGGCCGACGCAAATAAACCCGACATTGATCAGCAGCCACAGAAAAGACTGGCACATCAAAATTCGACCGGCTTCGATCCTCTTTTATCGTCGTTTCCTTCTTCTCCTGCTCTGAATGCCTGTTGGCCGTCATCAGCACCTACTTCGGCACAAGAACAGTGTGCAGTACCGTGTACAGGAGATAATCGGGACAACACGAGTAGATTGAAGGCCGAGGTGGCACACATGCCTGAGAGTGGGTAAGTGGATATTTCATTCTTTTAACTAGACTACGTAAAGTGCGTGAGATGCACAGTTCAGATGACTGCGAAGGATAATAAGGTGTCCACTATCATTACGTTACTCAGATTTATTGTCTGCTCTTTTGACTCGTTATGTATTGCATTGTGTTATGTCACAACAGACGGTTTGGGAATATATCATATGCGTGAAGATACTACATTAGACTTTTCTTCGTTTCAGAGTGACGACATTTAGTTTTCAAATTCCGTCTGGAGGTAGTTCACGAATTTCCATCGATTTTGATCAAACTACTCGTCAATTGCAGCTTTCATGTCAAACACCAAAAATGATAAGTGCTCCAGAAGTACTGCCTAGTAGCTTGAATGAGGAACGGATATCATCTGGAAATTATGCGATACAGCCGCGCGAAGGCTCTGGAAGGTAAACTAAGTATTATATGGTTTTTCCTTCATGTTTACTCTCATCCTTTTTTACCTTAGCAGTGTACTTCTGAGCCTCCATTTCCTACAATCGTTTTTGCAGGCGACGATGACAGCTTTATAAAGAATTACGTATATAGATCTCGCTCTTTTTTGTATAGGCCGTCTCTCGATTTCTCAGCTCCGTCCGGTGGTGGGGAGCGTTGTTGGAGATCGCCCGACGAGACCTTACTTCGAAGGAGAATTTCAACGGTAAATAACGAAAGCATCCAGCACGGAAGTGTCGACCAGTATTCACAGAAAGCTGGTACTTTCGTACAACAGTTAGATACCCGTTCAGAAGTCTCCGAGCAAACATTACAGACAACTTATCGCGAAGACAGCATTGAGAACAGCGTGTTCGATCAATCAGAAGATCATACGCAAACCAACGATGACTTTAAATACGTGCAGGCGAAACAACCTTGGGATATCGCCAAAGATCACTTGAAGGAAGGCGACAAGCAGCAGAGACGTAATGTTCTGCCCATACGCTATCCGTCAATGTGAGTCCGACAGATCAGTTCCGTAAATACTTGCCGTAAAAAAAATAAAGTTCCATTTAGTAATCAGCTTGGGCTTTCGACGCATAACACGAGCGTCTGTGAGATTTAATTCGAAATTACTATATAACAAAAATATGTAATATAGTAAAAAATAATAAATAAAAATAAATAATAAATACAAACTTAGAGCGATACAAACTGAGGCTTAGAGCAATGAAAAATTTATACGTACTTTTTTTTTGTTAGGCGTTTTATGCTTATCTTAGCGCTCACGTCATGATAGTGCATATAGATAATTTAATTAGCTTTTGAATTTCATTAAGTGAGTATATCGTAATATGCACTATTTAAACTGGTGCCAACGTTTGTTTTCAGACTGAAGCAAGATCGACGTCTTAAACGTTTATCTAAGCAGAGGAAAAACAAGAGTGATTCACTAATCAATGATACTCGAAAATGTACGCCGAAAAGCTCAATAAACAAGTCAATCCTTGACGCCAGAGAGAAAATGATGCAGCGGAAAGCGAAGGTTGATCGGAAGGGACCCGCCGATTCCGATTTGGAAAGCTACAGTGCAGCGGAAGTTTGTTCAAAGAATCAGTTGGTAACGAGCAACCTCTCGACATCCGTCCTAGTAGAAGAAGAAAATATTTCAAATGCCACAAACGATGCAGAAATTATAAACCAGGACTGTATAGACGCTTTCTCTGAAAATCCGGAAATAGAAGGACACCTTGAGGTAAGCTTGGAAGGTGACGAAGTAGGACCTGCTATTGTGACAGCCAGAGTGAATGAAGTTGATGTACTTGCAGGCTCTGCAGGCGCCGAGCAGTCTCAGAATGAGTCCATTGATCAAATGGAAGAGAATGTATCTGATCAAATCGAAGAACCAACCCCTGCATTATCGGATGCTATCGTTAACTCGAAAGAGTCAGAAAATTGCCAGGAAATAATTGAAATCAATGCTATTATTGATCCTCCGCCTCCTTGGGTTCTTCGAAATCTTAACGGTGAATTATATCAGTCGCCCATCAAGGAAGACAATCTTAGTAACAGTGACTCAGAGGAGGAGATGTGCATAGCGGTAGAACTCGAAGATAAGACATTCACTCCCATGAGTCCTGAATATACAGAAGTAGCGGACAGAGGGATGGCGAAGCTAATTCCTACTGAATTCGATGAAAATATGGCCCACTTCGTATACGGATCAATTCAAAATCGGCAGGCCAAGGAACCAAATCCGGAGAATATGCTGCCACCGCCTGATTCGCCAACAGAGTCACCGTCGTCTGTTGCATCGATCACTACGCGTCGGATGGCTAAGATCATTCCCAGTTCGCCGCTGCGAAATAGCTCACAGAACGTGTTCAAGACAATGCCCAAGAGAGTGTCCCCAAGAACTTGCGTCAAGCAGAAGCTGACCCCGAAACCTACCGAACTATTAGGACCGATAGAGCTTGCTGCTAGCGCCCGGTCTACGGAATCTAAAATCAAACACCCAGATAACAAGCCGACTACATGTCTAGAAAAATCGACAGGTTCTAAGGTTGCGGATTCTCGACCAGCCACAAGAAATGGTATGAAAATTAGCATGCTGAAAGATTCGTACGTTGCTGAGAAAGAGGACTATACAAGCGATACGTTATTTGGATATGATAACACCACAATTTCTGTTGCATCAGCTTCGCCTGTTACGTCCGTTCCCGCACATACGAAATCCTGCGATGAGGACGCATGTACTGCGAAAGTGGACAAAATGCCTATGTTAGCAGGATTTTTCAAGCAAAACAAGGGACGATTTCCTCGTTTTGAAAGTCTCTTAAAAAGCGTTGCTGAGGACGCAACAAGTATGGATGCAGTGGTAAACAGTCTTATGAATGAAAACCAAGTACGAAAAATATATGTGAGCCTGGTTTATGTTCTTATAGACGTCAATTGTGGTTTGAATGAAGATGAGCAACAGATCAGTCGGCAGGAGAAGAACCTAATGGAGTTTCTATTAAAGAAGATGCCTGCTATTAAAAAGTATGAGGGAAAAACAAGCCATGCCATCGCCCTTAGTGTAAGCCAATTGTATCTGCTTCTTACTTTTTTGTGTTGAATCATATTTTATGAAATGAAATTTGAAGTATGTATTTTCATTCGGCTCAGCAAGTAAAAATTAGCTAAGTCTTGCAATCCTATGTGTAGTGCGTGAATTTCATTCGGGCGTATTTGATGTCACCGTCGGGATCTACTCGCAGTGTCCTCGAGCTGAGCAGCCTTCTCAAGGTGTTAGCGCTGGTGGCACAAGAGACGCCTTCGGAACGACGACAGCTCCTTGATGAAATGTATTACTTCATGGCGGATAGGACCGGCGAAGCCGCGTACCTCATCTGCTGCTTTCTAGCTGTTTGGCCTGGATCGCTTAGTCAGGTTGAATTTGATTGTAAGTTTCTCATTTCCGAATACGAATAGATTAATGCACACAGTTATACCAGCTATACACGCGAAATTGCACAGATAATGCAAATCATGGGACGCACACTTTGTCTGAAGGAAGTTTTTCGATCCGATAGTCGTAAATGGAGTATAGTGTAGCTAGTTACGTTCCGCTCAAACCGAATGAGAATTTGCATGAACTTATGTATCGGCCGCTGTAATAGCCAAAGGCTTGTGCATACGGGTCTTTTCGCGCTTTTTTTTGTAGCCCCAATGGGTTTTATACTGCGCTACGTGCTGTACCATCATCCATCAGTTGTCCCACAGGAAGATCTTCAAAAAGCTCGTACAGCAGCACTGCGTTCTGGTTGGAAGCCGCTTCCACCGACAGGCACATCTCTAGCGGAAGCAATTGAACGTTTCACACCGGTAGTATTTGGACGGCGCGCTGAAAGCGCTGAAATGTCACGTCTAGCACTTCAGGCCTTGGAGTTGTTGCTGACCGTACAGGGTGACCCGGGGCAAGCTCGAGTGGTTCTGGAGGGTAATATTCCGCGCCTTCTTGCCCCTGAGGCTGGCTGCAGTCAGTGGGAAGTGCACTCGTTACTGCAACTTTGTGGTGCGTTTTTTTTGCATTTTTGGCGCATACTTTTTCTAATCACTTTTTTTCAGGAAAACTTGAAATTGTTTATTAATTTTTTATTAACTGTTTTCTATTTTAGAGAGCTAAAAATAAGCCATGCGATAAAAAAAAACATTAGATCAAATAACACTGGATTTTCCGCAATTACTTTACCGTTTCTTTTATTTCATTTAGGTAAGGTATGGAAAAAATTTGGTGCGCACGGCGTGGCCCAGGTGACCTTTGAGTCAACAATTGAAGGAATGTTACGGCTGATGGAGCAACTCAGTCCTGAAAAAGAGGATACAAAGGAATTCTGCCGTAAAGCTTTCTGGTCGTACGCAAGTTATGATAAGGATTCGGAGTGGTCGTCTCGGGCGAAGCAGCACTGTATGAAACAGCTCGCCAAAAATAAGCGAAATAAAATGTTTTCCCAAAAAAACGACAAGAAATATAATACTATTAATAATAACAATAACAACAAAAAGAAAAATAAACAAAAATCTAAGACTCCACAGCGAGCTAGTGGAGGAGTGACCAGCTCAAGCTCTACGAGCAGCAAACAGACTAGAAAGAAGGGTAAACAAATTAAAGCAAAAAGTACCAAGATTAACAGCCACTAAGTTAAAAAGTTACAACACCGGTGCATACGATTGCGATCCTACATTTGGGCATAACATGAATCGTAATGTGACATGTGTTTTTATGTACAGTTATAGTGGGGAAGAAGGATGGATAGCTAGGATGTAAATATTTCAATGGAGTTGCGTTTATCATCGCTAAAGATAGACTATAATAGATAATCTAAGACATGAGTGTAGGCGTTGACTATGCGCTTAACGGATGCCAGGTGCCCAACTCGAAGACTAAGCAAGCATTACTCATCATCTAGTGAGGTTATACAGCTGGCCATTCTATTATAAGGCAATTCTATTTAGACGTCTAGCGTGCTGCAAGCAAGCAGACGCGTTAGCTGCGTCAGAAAGTATATTTCATTGATTATTTGTGAATACGTATTTGTGTATTTGTTTACAGTTAATAATGTCAGTGTTCGTTAGTCTCTTTGCAGTTGAGCCTTATTAGACGTTTTCGACGCGTTACTCTATCACTTTTGCTGTAGATAAAGGCCTACACACAAACGAGATATACAAAGGGGAAGAAGTAAGCTTAGGAAACGAAACAATATCGATACATATAATATATTTGGAAAACATTCCTTTGCTGTTGAAAATGCTGCATAATGCTTCATGCGTTACTGTTTATGGCTGTAAATAAATCTGTAAATATTTTTCTTCCATTTTTGAGCTGGTATATTCAATAAAGTAAAATTATCAGTTCTCCGCGTTGTTGCTCAGTTGTTATGGTGACCAATCATAAGGTTCTCGTTTTGAAGTTACATGGATGCAATGAAAAATAATCTAGGGCGTCAAACATTTAGGTGTTCGTCCCTAATTAGCTATACACCGGTCCTGTGTCCTTATTGTAGGATTGTGCTAAGCTCATTAACTAAGTCTTTATGCATCTAGGAAACGTCAGGCTTAGAACGCGAATAATAGTTCGTCTTTGAACGGGGGTGGCTGTTTTCTGTAGTTTTTGCATTCCCGACATCCTCTATACAAAAAGGAGACAGCCAAAAAAGCCATGCATCAATTAGTAGGATTGCATAGAACTCTAGCGCCCGTTACAAGAACGGGTTCGTTAATCAAGTAACAATCAGTAGTTACGGGGATAAATGTTCCGCCAGCCCAGACTTCACCACTTCGATAAGGCTGTGTAGCTTTTAAACAATTATTATACTTGATATATAAGAAAATTATATATAGAATACAAAAAACGTCGAATAAAAGTAGTGGCATGGTTCAAACGGAGGATTCAAATGATTCAAAGGAAAGAAGGCAACGGAGAGACATGCTGGAAATAAGTGAGTGCGGCCACACGAACAGGTGAAATTATATCTGCGAGGCTAAAAGTCGTTATTTCGAACTTGGTCATGTGGCACAAAACGAAAAACTCAGATGCAAATTTACAGATTGTGGCACCTCTTATCAACAGCCTAGTATGCTGTCTTAGCGTCGAATGCACGCATTGTGTGATGTAGGCAGAAGTGAGCTGAAAAAGATTTCAGCTATTTTCATAAATATTGTAATTCTCATATAAGCCATCAAACCTACAGATCGGTGCGAATCCTACTGATCTCGACTTCACTTTGATTAAGCTTTGTATAAGATGAAGTCATCATCGATGATATTTAGGTCTTACTAGCATGGACTACGTACGATGAAAGTGCAATAGGTCGCATCAGCATGGTCCTGCGTGATACAGTAACTAAATCCGAAAAAGACATACAGCATTTACAAAAGCCTATTTGAGGCCTGCTGGTCAGTGTTATCTTGGTAGTTTAGTGCAATAGGAACAGGTTTACACGATAAATGGATCACCTCTTGTCTAAGCATCCTGAAGAAAAATAGTTATTTCACTATATCTTCAGTTAAGCAACACGGGAAAGCTGCTAGCAGATTCCACGCAGAAACACAGGCTATACGAATATATATTAAGGTATCAAATAAGTCTAATACTTTTAAATATAAAAATGTAGTTGTAATTATATGGAGAGTATCTATTAACGTGTATCTAACCCATGGCCACGAATTTATATTGTATTAATCATAGAGCCAGAGGAAGATCTGGCTATTTGCGTGCAGCTTGGGCTTACGTCTATCGGCCGTAATTTTTAATGGAATGTACGTAACCAAGCCAATGGTAGTTAACAGCAATTGTTATTTTATTGATGCTCCTTTGTTTGTTAAACGACGGAATGAAGTTAATGAAAAAGCAAAACACGCACAGTTTTAATTCCAAATTTGGCCAAGAACGAGGCTGTGATCTGGTTTATCGCTGATAAAATGGGTAATCTTATAGTTTTTTTTTTTTTTTATAGAAAAAGGAAGAATCAATCGTGGATGAGTTTGTTCTGTGGCCTGTACTTCGTCGCTAGCGACGCGGTGCTGTCTTCGATCCACCTGACGCAGGAACGCCCATTTGTCGCAAGGGATCAGAACTCCTTGCGGACATCAGTCCCTCATGCGCTAGTCTCTCCAGTTACCTTAGAAATACACTTCTTTTGACGGTTCCGAAGGGGACTTCGCAGGGAAGATTTAATAAGTGGAACAGGTCATTTGTCAGCCTTTAGAGCTTACTTATCGGGGTTACATAGCGAAACTAAGCAACGTTACTGGCGGTGTTGCTTCCGTGAGTGTTCCGTGTTTGATTTTCTGATCGCATCATTGTTACGGTTAGTTTGATAAGTGTACATTATGCTGATACGCAATACTGTCATATAAAATGGTCCAAGTTCATTGTGGCTAAACAAAGAATACTGGCTAGAAACAATAGGCTTAGTTAGTTTTCTTTATACTAAAATTACTAGCGGATTTTAACTTTATTTTAATTGTATTTAACAAACTTGTAGCAAAATGTAGTTTTTATAGTAGTGGCATACAGTGAAATTGGTTTAAGTGCTACTGTATAGAAAACCGGATTATTGCTTATGTTCGCTAGGAAAATGTGTGCTGTTAGCCCAAAAATGTTGTCTTTTCGTGCTTCTTGTTACATATATGTGTGAAAACCATCTAGAAAATTATAAATTTGATTGACTCGTTACTTCAGGAGCTGGTTATTACAACGAAGACAGTGCTCTAACAGGCTGGACAAATGGTAGAGAGGAAAATCAATATTTATTGGGGTAACATATTTTTTCTTGGATGATACTAATTTATGTAATTATATATATACGAGTGATTAAATATCGTACCAAAATGATGAATTAAGAATATTTAGCCTAGTAAATGATATGCGCGTGAGTGGTTAATCCGTATTCTGTGTATCCGTCATCCTCGCTCGTCACGTTCGTGTCACTGGAAATTTGCTGGTAAAATGGCTACGTAATATGTCACGTTTCTTTTCAGGTCAAAAGATTAAACCAGCTTATCTCCTTTCCTTTCCTTAAAAATCTTCTGACAGGCTCATCATTTCGGTCGGAGAGTTTTATTTCCGTCAACAGCTCTAGTAAGCAAGAATGTTTGCTTACTTTTTGATCGATCTTTTAAACTGGCCTTTAAAAATAATAAGTAAGGAACAAGTGATTTGAAAAGACTAGCGGTATCTTCAGTTTGAAAACATTTTACATTCTTACCGAGGCAGGCGTTGCGCACTAAGCAGGCGTATTTCATTTCAGCAGCTACCGCCTGCTCTACATGTTGCAACAGTACGCCTCCAGTTTCGTTTTCTCAACGGCTACCCTGATACTAATCGTCGGTATAAAAGTGAACGTCCTTCTTTGACGTACAGGCGTGCTATTCTTACCGTAATGGCTTACCGTGTCGAAAAAATCACTTAATAGTCGACTACTCTACGCCTCGCACGCAGCTGAAGGCGCGAGGTTCTAATCCTATATAAAGCCAAAACATAACGCCATAATAATTTTATTATTCTATCGTTTAGTGGATAAATCGTGGAACTACTGCGCAGTCTTTAAGTGTTATGGCCAGCGCGCACTGGCGATGGCACCATCTTGCTGGATATGCTGAACTTTCGTCTTGTGTACATCTATTGCACACTCTGTACGCGTGGAACAAACGTTCTTCTTACTTAGCCGAAGCCGGGGCTAAAGTTCATCCCACAAGTATTATAACTGATATGACAATCCGGGTATATTTAACATCGCAGCCCGGATGTCTTTGCACATAGGAATGGCGCATTTTTCGGTTATGTGACTTCCCTGTGCGTTGGCCTTCATTTTTCCCCCGTCTTACAAGTAAGCACCTTGCTCTATTATAAGGTTTATGAATAACACTTATAGGTACATGAAAAGCCTGTTAATTTAAGATAAGATGTGCTTCTGTTTGAAAAGTGCCCGGTCCTAAAACGTGTTGGTTTGCGTACCGTACTCTGACAACTGAGTGCTCTTAGTTCTACGCGTTAGAGAAGATCAAACCGGTAATGCAACGACCGAACTACATATTTAGAGATTACAGTGGGATTTGACCCCAATAACCAGCTACAAGCAAATCAAGAATCCATGGATAATCGGAACAATATACAAACAAAAGTAAGCACTGTGTTGTTTGTTAAAAAAAAAAAAAGCGTTTTATTCATGGTTTCAGTACAGCTGTGGTGGTTGTGTGGGAGTATTATGCATATAGGTTATGCCTATATTTGAACTATATAGGTTCAGTTCTAAAAATTTCAGGTAGTTAGTTTCGACTTTGGTTATCACAACATTTTTGAACGAGCCCAAGCCACAAATCCTAAAGCCTTAACACGTAAAAAGCGTTAGTCTGCATGTTGATCAAGCGTTTGAAATATTTATCCTTGTTTATGTATTAAGAGAATCTGAGCCGCTAAAGAAGCAAGCTGGCTTAAATTAGTAGATCGCCTTAAGGTTATGCAGGGTCGGAGTACTAGAACACGTGTAATTCAAGGGTAGAAAGGTTGCAGTCAATGGTAGAATACATTATGGACCTATTACAGTATCCAAGGGCTGCATGAAACAGGATTTAATGTTTAATCAGTGCAAGATATCGCTTACAAAACGTATGATGGCTTTGGCAGTCGTATCCAAACAGATCCTCTCGAGTCTGTTTGATAGGACACTGCTAGCCGACAGTCAGCCCGGAAAGAATATACGATAACATTTCAAGTTCAACAACACCTCAAATTTTATTATAATGAAATCAGTGAGATTACCACTACGCATTACTTTCAATAGACTCACATTTAAGCTCTTATTTATTTTTTTTTTTATTGTTTGCAGACTGGACTATTTCCTGTGTCCCCATTGGCCGCTTCTTGTGTAGCCCATAAACCGAACGGAATTTAGTTATAGTCTATTTTCATATAATAGAACTTCTAGGTGTCAGAACAATTAGAACTATGGAATAGTTACGCTAGTGCCCTTATTATCTATAACATAGCATTACGTATCACTTAATAACTATAGGTTTATTACTATAAGCGAGTTTGTTACTCTATGTTTTATATATCTCGATTTTTATATATCGATATTTATTATATTGCTACAAGCCAAGGTGCATCTAATTTGATTCAATTTTTACACTTACACGAGCTGCTTTTTTCAGTTAATTTTTATGCACTCCAGTGAAGTTACATTGTATAATATTTATAGAATCAATTTAGCTGTTTACCGAAACACGTAAGTAGACGTTACATATTTGTGCCCTGTACATTTTTCACTTCTAGCTAATCATTATCGACTAGCTCAAATAAACTTAATTCCAGAGCCAGCACTTCTACGCTCGCAAAAAGCTCTAACTGTATAAAGCTAACCGTGGCGCAAAATTTGTAGGCAAAGCCAGAATTAAATACGCTATTTTTTGTCTTCAGCTTTCAAGGATTGATACAAAACAATACGCACCTTAATATTCTCGTTCTTATTTGGCCCGTTGCTGAATTTTTGGGGTGCTACATATGGAAACGCCGGCTCTAGCTCCTTTGCAAAGTCAAAGTATGTTTATGCTAACTGTTGTTTTATCATCTGATACACGTTGTGGAACGAAGTACTAAATTTGGTGTCGGTCAAGAATATTGCCGAGCAACTTGCCCTACCGTGCTTCAGCGGATCTTAGTCAACAACAATCGCCGCGAAGGACTGAGACGTCAAAAAAGCAGAGCAAGTACGCACAAAGTGGATCATCAACATAGAACATATTGTGACACGTAGAAAAATTCAATACAGAATAAAGTGGTAGACAAGGCAAATAATCAAGTTGCCAAAGATCCTGAGGTTGTAAGTAACGTAAGTCAGCGTGCAAAACAGATAAGCAATGTGCACTACAACGAAATGGTGAACAGGCCTTCAGCCGAGATAGAAACGAAAATGAAAGATAAAAAACCTCTATACAACGAAAACGCAGAAGCATCCCAGTAGATGTCGCTAGGATGGATATAATCTGCTATCACCACAGGATGTATCTCTTCAATGATGAAACGGTAAATTTCTGTTCTACGTAAAACGAGTGATGTAGAACTCTGTAGTGTGGTGGATGAATTGCACACAAGCATCTCAGCAGAAGGAAGTATTGCTCGAAAAAATATCAGGCAATAGAAGTCGGTTGACTTCTTTCGGTGCCATTGGGGAATGCTGTTTCCCGGGAGAACATACAATCCTTTACTGTTTATTATCAAATCAGAACGTTTAATCACGAAGCGGCGAGCAATGCTATTTTTTTCAATTGTACTTATACAAACCTGCGCTAAAAGCAGTCTACAAGTAACGAATTATTTACAGATTCGTGGCCTCGTTCGGAACAAAAAACGGCTTTTAGATTTGATAGCTAATAATAGCCAAAAGATGTATTGAAGATTGGCGAGAAGCGCGTATCATTTTGGCCTTGATCAACGACCATGAGGCGCACGTGGAAGCGCTAGCTGAAACTATCTGGACGCCCAGTTTATATTTTCAAGCTAAGGAAGGGTTCGCCGGTTATTATTACGGTGAACATCTGAAACTTCGCAACAAAGGAAGGATGATCGGCAATAACCTATCCGATTACGCTATTGCTGCGGTAAATTCCGTAGGCAGAATTGCAGGCTAGATCGCCCCCTTCGCGAATATTACTTTCGATGTTTTAGAACAGGATGAAACCCCACCTGAGCAGACGCGAAGTTTCTATGTGACTTACCTCGGATCAGCGCCGTGGTAACGTGTTTGCCTATTAAAGTTAGGTGCTGTGGTGGTTTAAATCTAAATCCGGGCGTGGACGTACTTTGTTGGGAGCTCTTGAGTACCGGACCTAATATATTTGCATTGTTATTGCTTATATAAAGCGGAAAAGTTATTGTCCCGGCCTGAAATCCTGTGTTCAATTGCAATATATAGCCCCATTTGCGTACGAAATTTTGAAAATGAACATTTTTTCCGTACAAATAAAATCGAAAAGAGAAATATAGCCATTAGCGCTGTTCTGCAGTCTATGATCTTACATGAGCACTTCACGCGAGGATTATTTCAGTCATGTGGTAGTGGACACGCCAACGCAAATAGTATCCACAGAGAAGACAATTTTCGACAGTATAATATTATACATCATTTTGGCAATTTTAAATAACACCGCAAATTTAACGGTGAGAAGCGAAACATGTTAATTTGTTTTATTTACGTATCTGCTTTACTAAGTTTAATAGGTCCACGGATCTATCTAACTCAAAAAAACTTTACCCAGGTTGGGCCTGTTTGTTCTGAATCGGGGTTCCATTCTGGGAAGAGCTGTGTGGAAAATGAAGGTGATTCGGGAAACACTTTTGCCCCTAAATAAGCTCTGATTTTCGCCATAGTGTTGCGTAAGCAAGTTTACTAAACTTGTTCTGTATGAGTATGTGCGCCACAAAGGCTGTATAAAAAAACTGCTTAAATTACATATTATACAAGCTATTTGGTGATAGCCCATAGCTATAGACGATATCTATATTATAAATGTAATTAAAATTTTACTTTTACTTGAGTAAAAGGACTCCGTCGGCTTGCACAGATTTTTTTTCTAAGTTGATAGATTTCTTTAGGTTGATCGAATGAATACATTTCTTGGGGGAGTTTGTTGTTTGATTCCATAGGATGTATTAATTAAAGGAAACTATTTGCTATTTGGTCATTTTGGCTCTTTTTTTTTTCATAAAATTTTTCTACGTCAACGAGAAAATTGCGGGGCATGAAATGGGCTAAATTTTTGGCGGAACTTTTCAAAAATATTCTACTAACAATATATATAAACTATATCTGAAAGTGATATTTCGGCATGAAAATTACAAACCCTTTATCTCATCCACGTATCAATGGAATGAAAATGTTTTTTGAGGAAATTTTTAATAAGTGTTGATTGAAAAGTTGTAGCGACTGATGTGGCGAACCTTTAAATGTATTTTCTGGGGAAAACACCAAAATATCGAAGATTTTTTTCTATGTAAAATGCAGCTTTTTTGACACTCGTTCAATACAATAATTAATAAATCTCAACGAGCTTAGTGAGCGTGCAGCGCATCTTACTGTAGAAACATCACTATTTCGGGGAAAAAAATATTAGTTGTGATTAAATTATACAAATGTCGTAACATAAAAAAGAAAAGTTCTTGATACCGATCAGAAGTTCTCGATGAGCTGAATCGAAATATCAATATATATTCATATACGACCAATTTTCAGTTTTTGGACCGAAAATACCGTTTGGAAAAATGATCTCGATGAACTCAGTAAAAATGCGATACATACACTCATACTTAAAATTATTTTAGTGAAAACTGCGAAAATCTTATTGGTGTTATTGACCTTGTAGAGAATGAAAGGGCGACTTGAAAGCTCAAGTGGCAGATGAAGGGTTGGTTGTCCTGAAAAAAAAAGTGTTGTAAGTTATTTTGAGGGAACGACAGCAAAATATCAAAAAAGTAAAACTAAGTAAGTGTAATAAAAAAATTAACTCTTCTCAACCCTTGATGGAGATCCAAAGAACCAATACATTAAATATATATATATATATATATATATATATATATATATATAAAAGCGTTATTGTAAGCCAGTAATAAGGCTGTTGATATACATACGTAAATATTTGCATTGTATTTTTTTTTAGTAGAATTTTTATTTAGTAGAATATAAGTTTTATTGCAAAAAAAGAAACAGACTCAGTCTTGGTGTGATGTCTAAGGATTCTCATAAAAAAAGACAAGATTTTTAAGTCTTAAAAGTTGTACAATAGCAAACTCTTTTGCCAACGGCACGAGGAAGACATAAGCAGAAACAGATATATTATTTAGATCAATGCGATTCCTTTCCGCTAGAGGAGGTTCATCTTATCAAATTGCAGACGTCGCCACATCAAAGACTAGTCTTACTTTTTGTCGAAACAAGTTTTTGCCACGATAATAAGATATGAAGGATAAAGATAGTGATAAT